AACTCAGGACGGCAAGCCAGAGGAGCGCGACAGTGGTTTACTTATCAGTGCATGCTTATTTGCATAGACAATCTCCCCTCATTTGAACAGCAGCTGCAGCGTTCAGAGTTCCCTATGAGTGATCCACCCTGCATCACAATCAGCCCTAACGAGGTGATTACTCTCCATCAATAGGCTACTTGCTAATATGCTCTTGTCATTGTTAGGCAAAGCAAAGACATCTGCAGTCCAGAGGTCACACTGCTTCACCCAGTTATTAACACAGCTCTGCCAGGCCATGCAGTCTGGCACAGGGGCATCCTGGTAGTCTGCTGTACACTGTTAAACCCGCATGGTGTAGCAATAAACTGGACTGGTTCAGCAAATAATCTAACAATTAGTCAAACGCTATATTTTATTAAAGAATGAGAGCTAAATTAGAGTTTATTTATGCAAATGAACTTGTTCTTGAGTAATACATTTTTAAGATTAAACTCTGGGGATTTGGGCTTGCATTTCGTTTGAACTCTAAAGGTTCTGCATGCAATAATGACAACTTATATTTTTAATCTAGTTTTGGCTTTGTTCATTGACTGTTTGGTGCATTTTGCACACAAAACTGGAACATTAGTTCATTAGTAATTTACATTAGTAAACAGTTAGTACATTAGTAATTTGTACTAGTAATTAGTAGTTAGTACATTAGTAATTAGTACTAATCACATTAGTAATTTGTAGTAGCATACTAGCATACTACTATATCTGTCAAATCTTTATGTGCTACTATGGTATTCAGAATTCAGCTATTTATTCTTCATCTAACATCCTTCACTCTGATTGGTTTAAATAATTCAGAGGTAACACCTGATTAACTGACTTCTAGGAGTAAGAGCACCCAGTTTTTTTTCTCCAATCACACTAAGGCCCCATCCACACGGAGACACGTTTAGCTGTATACGCATACATTTTGTATCGTATAGGCATTTCGTCCACATGGATCCGGCGTTTTGGGAGAGTGAAACCGATATTTTTTGAAACCGGGTCCCAGAGTGGATAAATCTGAAAGCGCCGCCCTTGCGTTTTCGTGTGGACAGCGAATCCGTATATTTTCTGAAACGATGACGTCATCAGCCCACGTCTCGCCCCTAGTCAGACACCGCTACGTCACGTAACAGCAACAAAAACATGAACAAACACTGAACGATTGTCTGTTTATTAACTAACATTAACACAGATTAATAAATGTATTGTTCCATGTTCGTTTGTATACCGCGCGCAAGGTTTATGCGCATAGTCCAAGTCTTATTCTCTGTTTTTAGTGTAACTCTGTGGCAGAATTACAGCGCCACATACTGGTCTGGCATGTATACTACATCGTTTTGTGTCGGTTTTGTGGTTTCGTGTGGACGCAGATATTTCTTGAGACAAGGAGAAAAAAAAGATCGGATAGGGAAAGCTCTGGCTTCCTGTGGACATAGCCTAAGGTTGCATACAAATATACATACTACTCTACTATATAGTAGGCAAAAAAAAGTAGTAATTCTGAAATCACAGTATTCATAAAACAGCATTCAAAAACTACTGAGATGACCTTCTGCTCCCAGCGAGATTCTGAAATGCACATCCAGTAGAGTGTAACAGTGTCCGTCCACGTTTTCAGTGGCTTTGATTACGGAAATATCTTTCCCATCCATTTTTTACACAAGGATTTAAAAAAAGTTAAGAGTTTTAAGCCATGAACCAACAAACTTGCTACGAGTTGTATCACAACATTTGATTTGAAGCAAAGCTGCATTTGAAAATCAGACAAAAAGACAATGAGGGAAAGAACTACAATCCCATGAAGCACTGCGAATAATCAAGTTAAAAAACAATGGATGAATATAAAGTTTTTTTAAATTATTATTTTAAGATGTTGGTTATGCATAAAGAAACACATTTTGCATTTATTGCAAAATATGCACATATTTAAGCATTCTGAGAGTCAACAAGACTTATTAAATTATGTAATTATTTGTGTGTCACGAGAGTTGGGCGGGTGCTAAAATGTGTTGCTTGATTTGCTATTCTCTAACTGGAGGAGATTTCTTTGTTGAATCAAGGATAATGTTTTTTTTCCCCACTAGATATTCCATGGTTGAACATGATTATTTAAAAAATAAGTCGAGATAATGCAGGCTGATGGCTTCAACAAAAGCATATAGCATCGATTAACAACCTCGTAGCTCACAGTAGGTCTGTCATCCGAATTTCATTCAGAACATACTTTTTAATGATTGCGAAGTACATACTTATTCAATAGAAGTACCTACTCAGAGTATGCAATTTTGAAAGCAGCCTTTGAGTTTGAGGCACTCAGTAGCAAGATAGCTAATGTTAACTAAGCAAAAATAGAGTGAGGGTGACACAAGCCAGATTTAGGCTGCCCAATGTGCACTACCTGCCAGGACTCTATACCTCATTTTTATACCAGTTTCAAGATTTAAATAATAATAAATATTCAGGTATTTTCAAGACAAGCTTCCTCTGGGGCCAGTCCCTTCACTGCCGAGCATCTACACATCTCTGTGTTGTCCAGCAGGGGGAATCCTCTTTCTACACCCGACGCCAGGTGCCTTTCAGAGGCACATGCAGGAGGAGGAGGAGGTCGATAAGCTCCTGTGGTAATGCCGGGGAGTTGTTTTATTGTGTAGTGCAGGGAGGTGACAGCTCTGGGCTGCAGTGCAGAGAGCAGACACTGACTGATAGCCCCAGTGAGGCAGAATGAAGGGCTGAACCCCAGCCGTGGATCACTGTGGCCGGGGAGTTTCATTAACCAGGGGGTGATAATGATAATGCAGCAAACCTACTGCTGAGCTGCGCCTGCTCAAATGAAAACACTACATATACACACTAATATTTAAGCATGCAGTCATGGTCGTGTGAGCTTTGTGAGAGCCTTCTGAGAGCATTCCCTTTAGCGACTATCCAAAGCCATGACGTCAAACACAAAAAGGAGAAATATTCTTCATTTCAAGTATATATACTTGACAAGTATATATTAAGTATATATTTGCAATGTACTCTGCCATTCAAAAGTTTGGGGTCAGTCTTTTTTTTTTTTTTTTTGAAAGAAATTAATAGTTGTAATCAGCAAGGATGCAATAAATTAATCAAAAATCACAATAAAGGTTTAAACTGTTACAAAAAGACAGCTATTTGGTGTAGTTTCCATCAGCAGTGGCTATCTGCAACATGCTAACCATCCAAACACTAGCTGCTTGGGTTGGGCATCTATTGGATGGAAAATTGTGGCATTTATACCGAACAGCTGGATTTGTAGTTTGCACCATTTGCCCTTGGTGTCTGAATGGTGAAGGCCTGCTATCAGCGAGGGCTGTGTAGACTGTCTCTGTGGATTTACCTGTATGGGGCTAAGAGAACCAGAGACCAATCTCACTGCACCTATTACAAGCAGCCCAGAGGCAAACTGAGGATTACAACGGTGGGATTTAGGATTTATTCTGAGCTTTCTGAGCCACTTGAAAGATTTCACCATGCCAACTCACATTACTCTATGAATGGAAGGAGCATTAATGTTTCAACTTCAACTCGCATTATGGTGGTTTCAGTCTTAGCATGCTAAAGTCAGGAGAGAAGATCAAACCGGAACCTCCAAATATGATGACTCCATAACGGAAGACCCCTTTATTAAAATATAATGACAATACACTACCTTGCAAAAGTTTGGGGTCAGTAAGATTTTATTTTAAATAAATTAATACAACAATGCTTAAACTGATCATAAGTGACAGTAAATGCATTTATAACTTTGTGAAAAAAAAATCTATTTAAAAAAAATGCTGTTCTTTTTGAACTTTGAAGAATCCTCAAAACAAGTACCATGTTTTCCACAAAAAAAAAAACAAAAAAAAAATCCAGCATTGAGCATCAAATCAGCATATTAGAATGATTTCTGAAGGATCATGTGACACTGAAGACTGGAGTAATAATGCTGAAAATTCAACATTTTCATATGTGACCCTGGACCACAAAAGCAGTCTTAAGTCGCTGGGGTATATTTGTAGCAATAGCCTAAAAAAACATTGTATGGGTCAAAATTATCGATTTCTCTTTTATGCCAAAAATCATTAGGATATTAATTAAAGATCATGTTCCATGAAGATATTTTGTAAATTTCCTACTGTTAATATATCAAAACTTAATTTTTGATTAGTAATATGCATTGCTAAGAACTTCATTTGGACAACTTTAAAGGCGATTTTCTCAATATTTAGATTTTTTTGCACCCTCAAATTCCAGATTTTCAAATAGTTGTATCTCTGCCAAATATTGTCCTATCCTAACAAACCATACATCAATGGAAAGCTTATTTATTCAGCTTCCAGATGATCTATAAATCTCAATTTCGAGAAATTGACCCTTATGACTGGTTTTGTGGTCCATGGTCACATATATAAAACCACTATATTTTATATAGTATAAAATACTATATTTTATTCAAAAATATGAATCATGAATTAAGCAATATAAAGGCATACATGTATTTAATGTATTCTGAAAATACATTAAATAGTGGCATATATTATTATTTTATTAAGGCAATTTAAACAAAACATTTAAATATTATATTTATTTTCAGCAATATTTATCAAATCTGTTAAATGTGTTAAACATATTTAATTAATATGTTAGCAATAATATTTTTTTTCTCTAAAATGTTCTGGAGACCCCTAAGCATCCCCTCTTAAGGACACTAGTTTGACAAGTATACTAGTGAATCTAGCTTGTGATTTGTATTTTCATCAGCAATAATGCACAAGTTTTGAAAGCCCTGTATGTGGCACCATGCCATTTTTCGTCAGACTCTGGTCTTCGATGCCCTGATTACATTTTTACTATATTCTGTAACTCCGAATGTAACCATGAGAACATTGAAGGTTTGAATCCCCAACACAGTGAATATTCATCACAGTGGGCCAGGGCTTATAGATGAAGTGTGTTTGGACCGTAGGGCTCACCTTAAGATGCCTTCTCCTCCTCTGGAAGCGCAGCAGCTCCTTGTGTTGGCGTGCAATGAAGTTGACGGCCGCATACTCCAGCAGAGCAGAGAAGACAAAGAGAAGGCACACTGCCATCCAAATGTCAATGGCTTTCACATACGAGACCTGCAGCGAGACGAAACCAACAGGACTGGCAATAAGCAACAAAGAACAACTCTGAGTCACCGCCTGGCTGAAAGTTCACTCACTGAGTCACTCGCTTGGCTCAAGTGCTTAAAACTTTCCAGTTGAGAAAGTCGTAAATTATGCCCATTATAGGGAAGAATACCTTTAATCTGAAACCCAGAGAGCTAAAAGGACTGTTCTATTCAGTCTGAGATTGAGGATCAAAGTGTTAATGAATAAAATATGTCAATTTTAAGAATTTAGGCTCAGCAGCACAGCAGCCGAGTCTTTATGCACGTCTGTGTGATCTCCGTCAGAAAGTAGAGACGCGCTAAGAGCTGCTTCTTTGGCCTGGAAAAGAGCTTGGCTGCCAGCCCGACAGCTTGGCTGAGACTCACTTTATTTGACAAGCCAGTGACCAAAGTGGTTGTGGAGTTTAGGTGGCATTACAGAGCGCACGGTTCACAAAGCATTGTTGAAATGACGGGAGCTCGCTGGGCTGAGACAGCACTGATGAAATACTCCACTCTGATCTTCACCGCTAATCTCAGATGCTCTTACTGAAACCTTTCTCCTTTGTTAATTGAAACTTTTATAATTATTTGCATCAATAACACCTACTATCAAAACCTAATAGTCTTTTGAGCCTTAGCCAAAAGACAAAGCTGTATAGACAAATGTAGCTGGATATAGCGGAGGTACAGCAATCCAATGACATGGTTGAGTGCTGCTGACATTAAAAACATGCATGATCATTATTGCTGCATAGGGGTGGGCGATCTACTCAAAATATTATATCATGATCTTATAACACAAAATCACAATTTGAATCGTGATCTTCCCAATTTTGAGATGTACTATTGAGAATATCCAGCCTATGGATGTATCTGTTTGCACACAGTATTGCATTAAACAATAAGTTGTCAAAATGGTAATTAAACTTGCATAGTCTTCACTGTATGAATTAAATATACACTGATTCTCACTGAAGCTACTAACATTATTCAGTCAAGAGCAGTAAGGGATTTTTTCATCTTTCGCAGTTTAATGTGCTTTTAATAGCAGTCACGTTACATGATTTGACTGATTTGGATGTTAAGTTCAAGTGCATTTAAGGTCACAAAGAGAGATTTGGAAATGATGGACACAATTTCTGTTCCGTTATAAAGTAATTAATTGTCAACAGCCAGAATTACAAATGAAATAAGATGTATATAATTAAATAAATGGCCAATAATAGCAGGTCAATGAAAAATCATCAACACAAACAGCTATCAATGCAAAGCATTAATGAATAATGAATCAGCTGTACAGCCACATGCTGGCCATCCCAATGCTGCAGGCTAAATAGGTATGAAAAGGACTTATTATTCTTCTTATTATGATTATTCTTTATGAATGGCCAGAATTTTTTATTTTTCAGAGGCATGTCTCTGACAAACAGCCCTTTGGCACTGAACATCTTGTAATAAACATTATTTACAACCAATTCAATCCCACAGTGGGAATTTTGCAGTAACCTTGTAAAAATATTACAAAATATGGTTATAAAAAAATCAAATTTTTTTTAATTAAAAAAAATCTAGGTTTTCTGTGCTTGTTTGTAGCACTGCACAGTCTAGCCTACTATTATTAAGAATAATAAATAAAAAAGTAAATAAAAGAAAATATTAAAAAATTTCATTTTATTATTATTATTTTAAACATTAACAATACAAATATACAAATGACTAAATACACAAAAAATTACAATTGCAATTTCACTGTAAAATAAAAAAGAGTATTTAAAAAAAAATTAATAATAATAATAATAAGAAAAATAATTATATTGTTTCTTTCAAATTTAAAACCATCTAACTTTAAGATGGAAAACCGCATATCAACCAAAAACTCATTAGTTGACAATCACTTCTCATTACAAGTATGTGAAGATGGTTGGCACATGTTGTGTTCCCAAATGCATGTTAAAGTGACCCAAACAGAACAGATGCAGAGATGGAGTTTGTGTAGTCTCGCATAGCCAGACCTTCAGACTGACGGCTGAAGGTCTGGAATCCATGGCAGCTTTCATTGGCCTAGGCCCGCCCATGAGGCCGTTTGACTGACATGTCAAACAACCAATCACAGTTAGTTTCGTTCATCGTCACGTTTTGGGGCGTGGAAATGTCACCACAATAACAGACTGTAAAACTCTATTTTAAAGATTCTATGTCGCGAACTTAAACTTTTCACATACTTTTGAAAATCCAGTGTTTAGTTGATCCTGATAAGCGGGCAGCTTTCATTGGCCAAGGCCCGCCCATGAGGCCGTTTGACCGACATGTCAAACAACCAATCACAGTTAGTTTCGTTCATTGTCACGTTTTGGGGCGTGGAAATGTCACCACAATAACAGACTGTAAAACTCTCAGACGTATTTTAAAGATTCTATGTTGCGAACTTAAACTTTTCACATACTTTTGAAAATCCAGTGTTTAGTTGATCCTGATAAGTGCTCTTCATCACAGTTGTAATCATGACGGCTTTCTTCCTTCGTGAGGGGGTTTGGCGGCACGGCATTTTTGTTTCCAGGCGGAACGTTAAAGAACGCGACACACACGTCTCCCGGAAATCCTGTATAATTTAACCAATCCAATGACGACTTCGAAACTCCTGAAGTGTTTCCACGTTTGTGTGCTGTATGCATCAGACGTTTAGCCAATGCTCTGTAGGCGTGACATCTGAGGCTGAGACTAGAGTTTGTGTGGAGCAGCATTTACTGAAAAACGAATAAAGTTGATTTGATAATCGCACAAGTCATGTTCAATTTTATTTCGAATAATGGTGCAGCCCTACTTTCTTATCTAGCTCAGTGTGGCCAGATACAAAGATGCATGTGACACTGCCATTATTTTCTAGCACATGTGTGTGACTGTTAACAAAGCTGCTGCCTATTATGAGCATCTCAAGTCTTAAAACTATTTACGAGGTTCCAGCATGGTCAGAATTAATGTTTATGTCGACAGCAATTGAACCTAGTACAGCCCATGACATATTGCAGTGGGACATCAATAATATGCCTCTGAACAGAGTGAACGTTACGCCATCAGGGATTTGTATTGTTGGGATGAGCATGATGGAGACCCTACTGACCTTAGGAAGAGAAGCTCTTGATCCTGAGCTCTGGGTGGTCATGGTCAGCACAGTAGTGATGCCCAAACCTACACGGGCAGGGGCAGCGTCCATGTTGATCCAGAAGGACACCCAAGACAAAATGACGATCAGGAGACTGGGAATGTACATCTGGATCAGATAATAGCCCATCTGTCTCTCCAGGTGGAAACGAGCCTCTATGCAGGTGAACTTCCCTGAAACACAAATAGCATGTGGTTTTATTGTCAACTCATGTTTCATTTGATTCTCTAGAGTTTTGTCATTGCAGGTTTAAAACAGGCTTTAAATAGGGCTGGGAAGTGAGAAGTGGTTCTTATTCAGAAATGATTCCCAAATACCAGAATCAAATGATGTTCGATTCTATTAACTGTTTCCCAAACTAAAATACAGATACTGAATCAATAAAGCAAAGTCCAATTACAGAACGAATGACTCTTATGAGTCGGTTCATTTTAGAGAATTGAATGCATACTTGGCAGCTAGTGCAGTCTGATTCCTAAACAAATGACTCTTGTGAATCAATTATTTTGTGAATCAAATATATACAGCTTGCAGACTTGGCCCAGTGTAGTTATTGACTGTTTCTCCCACATGACAACAAGTAGTTAAAGATACATGTTATGTGCTTGTCAATAGTACTTTGTAAAAATAAATAAATTAAATGTTTTTACATTTTGGATTAGTATTGCTTGCTTAGCATTTAGTTTCCACTTTTGTGTGCTGTATGCATCAGACGTTTAGCCAATGCTCTGTAGGCGTGACGTCTGAGGCTGAGACTAGAGTTTGTGTGGAGCAGCATTTACTGAAAAACTAATAAAGTTGATTTGATAATCGCACAAGTCATGTTCAATTTTATTTCGAATAATGGTGCAGCCCTACTTTCTTATCTAGCTCAGTGTGGCCAGATACAAAGATGCATGTGACACTGCCATTATTTTCTAGCACATGTGTGTGACTGTTAACAAAGCTGCTGCCTATTATGAGCATCTCAAGTCTTAAAACTATTTACGAAGTTCCAGCATGGTCAGAATTAATGTTTATGTCGACAGCAATTGAACCTAGTACAGCCCATGACATATTGCAGTGGGACATCAATAATATGCCTCTGAACAGAGTGAACGTTACGCCATCAGGGATTTGTATTGTTGGGATGAGCATGATGGAGACCCTACTGACCTTAGGAAGAGAAGCTCTTGATCCTGAGCTCTGGGTGGTCATGGTCAGCACAGTAGTGATGCCCAAACCTACACGGGCAGGGGCAGCGTCCATGTTGATCCAGAAGGACACCCAAGACAAAATGACGATCAGGAGACTGGGAATGTACATCTGGATCAGATAATAGCCCATCTGTCTCTCCAGGTGGAAACGAGCCTCTATGCAGGTGAACTTCCCTGAAACACAAATAGCATGCGGCTTTCATCGTCAACTCATGTTTTATTTGATTCTCTAGGGTTTTGCAGGTTTAAGACACGTCATTTAAATAGGGCTGGGAAGCGAGGACTGGTTCTTATTCAAAACACGGTTCCAAAATACCAGAACCAAATGATGTTCAATTCCTTTAACAGTTTACCAAACTAGAATTAGGGATGCACCGATACCGATACTGGTATCGGGCCCGATACTGAGCTTCTGTACTCGTACTCGTTAAAATGCCCCGATACCACACAGCATGTGTTAAGTGCCATATTCAGACAATGAAACACCACAGACAACAGACAGCAGAATGGAGTTATTAGAGATTAATGATGTCTACGAAGTATATGTATGCAATGAATATAATGTTAAACATTCAGTATTGACTGTATAGCTGATGTGCGCGAGCTGATATTAGGCTACATACCTTTCTATCAAAGTTATCTAACATTATCAAGCTGAATTTGTTCGGACACAGTTTAACTTTGAGTTCTTGTTATATTTTATTACCATTTTCTAAACTATAGCGAATAAACTGTGATAATGTGAGAAATGTTGAAGGTGTCTGAATAAATTTTGATTTGACTGTATCTATTTGATAAATGAAGTTAACCAACTAACATTATACATACTCTTTTGGTTTCTGTACCCAATATTTTAAAAATTTACAAATGCAATAAAATATTGGTATCGGTACTCGGTATCGGCAAGTACCAAAAATAAAAGTATCGTATCGGGCGAGTACTGGAAAAAGTGGTATCGGTGCATCCCTAACTAGAATACATATACTGAATCTATGAAGCAAATCAGAGAGCATGACCAGCGCAGTCTAATTACAGAATAAATTACTCTTATGAGTTGGTTCTGCAACAAGTGCAGTCTGATTTTTTGTGAATCAAATATATACAGTTTACAGAGTTGGATCAGTGAATTTACTGACTGTTTTTCCCATATGATAACAAGTAGTTAAAGATATGTGTTATGTGTTTGTCAGTAGTACTTTGTAAAAATAAATTAATTAAATATTTCCACATTTTGGATTAGCAATTATATCACCTCTGCAAAATAAATAACTGCAAAATCCTTGCAAAAGTCATTAAAAGCCTATTTAAACATTTTGGAAGAATTGTTTAAAATTTATTTATTTTAAAAATAAATCTAATCATTTGGCAAAATAATTTTTTCCTCAAAAATACAAAAGAGGAACTATTAAGGATCAGGAACTGCTAAACAGCATTTGGCGAATGTAAAAATAAATAAATATGTTATGACATTTTGGTTTGTTTAGTATTGCTTATTTAGTATTTATGCCACCTCAAAAATAAATAAATAAATCTGCAAAAGTCAGTAAAAAGTCCATGTAAACACATTTTGGAAGAATTGTTAAAAATGCATTATTAAAATGATCTAATCATGCAGCAATAAATTTAAAAACGCAACATATGATTACAATTGCAATACAATCACAATTTATAAAAAAAGAGGAATCGTAAACAGAACCATAATTGTCAAATCTCATTCCTATATTTAACGTTCAAAAAAATGGATCCATTAAGGATCCAGAACTGCTATAGGAAATAGGAACTGGAACCAGAACTGTCAAATCTCTTTCCTAGTTTCAAAGGCTCGTGACGCTTCCATGTTCCCACACTATAACTAGACAGCTGAGCTGAAAATGTCAGGGTCAAGGTTCATTTAACTTCTAGCATTTACTCAGCTGAATTGGAATTGTCGAGTTTTTGCAGTTGTTATTGAGCTGATGCAGCATAAACCTCTAGATTATTCCCTTACCCTTGGGAAAATTATGTATTGATTACATTGTTGCATTTATGAATATAGATAAAGACAAAACAAAATGCTAGTATAAAAAGCAAACAGAGGTATTGACTCAAACAGAAGCTCAAACACAGAGAGCAAACACTTTCTTTGGACTGCGATCTTTGCTGAACGTAAACAGCCAAGTGAGAAACAGGATAGATGCAACTGACCAGCACTAAAATTAAAACCACATCTATTTCTCCCAAGGGACTTGGAGGATGCAATCGGATGAGGAAGACAAACTGAGAGGAGGGCTGGACTGCAGAGCTTAGGCCTGCTCTGCAAATCAAAATAGATTGCCATTAATAAATCTGAGAAAAACGACACTTTAATTTCTAGTTAATGCTTGACTGGGGAGCAGCAGAGATCAAGTATTCAAGCACAGGGCCGACTGTCCAGTGCTTGCACCGGAACAACACGACTATACAGAGAGAGAGAGAGAGAGACGGAGATAGTGAGGGATGACCAGAGTGGTAGGGCATCTTCAGGTTCTTCCATGGACTTTGATGTGCACAAACACCAAGGTGATAGGTGAAGTGCAATCAAGCAAACCAAAGAAATATGATCTGTTCCTGCATATGAGATGCACCTCAGACAGGAGTGAGAGAGAGAGAGACAGAGATAATTGTGCAAATATTGATCCTTATTATGGTAATTAATTCTGACTGGTATTAGTTTGTTCTGGATTACCTCATGGTCACTTATGCAAATACAGACAAGAGAAAAGTGATATCTAGATGAATAATACTTGATACAAGATGAAAATGATGGGTCTGCATGAGCAAAAATGTGTGTAAACGTTTTGTAAATAAATGGTTTTTAAATTTAATTTGTAAACTTTTTTAAGAGCCTATACAAATAATTAACTTTTTGTAAATAACTTTTTATATTTAATTTTTAAACTTTAATTTTCCAGTAATACTTTACAAGAAGGTCCTATTTGTTAACGTTAGTAAATGCATAAACTAACCAACAATGAGCAATACATTTGTTACAATAATCTTGTATTTATTAATCTTTGTTAACGTTAGTTAATAAAAATACAACTGTTCATTGTTCAAGTTAGTTCAGGCCCATTAAACAATATTAACAGATAAAACTTTAGATTTTAATAATGTATTAGTAAATGATGAAATTACCATAAACTAAGATTAATAAATGCTTTAGTATTTAGTATTTTTCATTGATAGTTCATGTTAACTAATTTAGTTAACTAATATTAACAAATGGAAGCTTATTGTAAAGTGTTACCATTTTTTTTATTAGCAAGAGTCTATTCAAATGATTCCAAATAATTTACATTTTGTAAATACATTTTTTTTTTTAATTTCAAAGTAATTATTAGGAAGTGCCTATTCAAATAATTTGTAAGTCTATCACAGGATAAACCATATTTTACATTTATTCCAAACATATTTTCAAAGAAACAAAAACAAAAAGGATGAAAAAATAAGCATAAACATAATAATCAAAAAAATGTGGAGATGAAATCTACATTAACATATGAATATATTTTAATATATATATGTTTTTAATATATTTAATACATTAACATTAATATATTTTCCTCCCTTATGAAATATCTTTCATGACATGTAAAAAGTCTTGCATAGTTGATATCTCAGTTGTATTTAAATATTTAAATTTAAATTTCATTCTGCTTGTGTTTCATGATTGAACATCAATGCTAGGAATATTTGGGACAGGCATAGTTGATATCTCAGGTTGTGGCAATGCCTGTAATTGCTTGTCATACACAATGACAATTATGTAATTGTCTTGTTCTTAAGTAAATTAAATTTAAAGCAATCAGTTGTATTTAAATATTTAAATTTAAATTTCATTCTGCTTGTGTTTCATGATTGAACATCAATGCTAGGAATATTTGGGACAGTACTGTATTTTTACATTATACATAATAAAATTGGAATGGTAAAATTCGAATCACCTTTTTACTAAATGTAACGTTAATATAATAATATTTAATGTAACTGTAACATAATACAGTAACCTTTTTAACCCTTGCAAGTTCTCTTAGCTCTCAAGCCTGTTTATTATGATTTCAGATAAACGTGACCTTCTTAAAAAAAAAAAAGCCTAATGTTAAGGCAAAAGTAAAGAAAGCATGTCCAATATAAAACTTTATCGAACACAACAAAACCACACAAACTCTCATTATCCCAATGATAATAATTCAAGAAAGGAGACTTGCTTCTATTTTCGATCTGAACTAGTCTGGCCTTCAGCAATTTTCCAGCTTATCTGGAGTGGAACAAATCCTGACTGTCAACACTGGCTGAACAGATGGTATTTAACCCAATCGAAAGTTCACAAAGAAGATTCAAAGCAGAGCTCTGGTCCACAACATTTCATTGAACCCGTTTTGGTACCAAGTGCTTCGTAACAATAGATCCAACAACAGTGCTTAGCATTTGTGTCCGGCCACATTTAGTGTAGTGTCAGCACTGAACAAACACTGTAGCTTCACATGCAGATGAACGACACTCACCTGTGTTGTAGTGCTTGGTGCAGTAGCGCAGATCCTTCTCTTCCTTCATTATAAACTGAGGTAAAGTCAGACCGTCTGCTACCTGCACGGCTCCCTTCTCGTCCCACTCGAATATAAGATCGTTCATCGTGTAGCCAACTAGTGGAGGAACAACGAAACAATAGATGAGTGTTGTCCATGGCAGAAAAAAAAGCTTAGTTTGTGCCAGCAGGTCTGACAATGGCTCCGGCTCCTATTTTAGTGGATCCCCAAATTTTGAAAGAAATGATCTAAACATGCACAGTTCTGGGTAGATTACTTACAATTTGTAGTGCATTACTGATTACATGATGAAAACTGTAACATTAGTAACGTAATCTAAGTTACTCATTTTAGGTAATGTATTCTGACTACTTTTTCGATTACTTTTGATCAAATTTAAACTTACCACTAAATGTACCATATTGATATAAAAAACAGAAAGAAAATATATTCCACTTTTATATCAACATTATAAAATGCATTAAACATTAGAGTTGATAGTGAGTGAATAGTGAGTTGATGAAAAGCTAATCATTAATTGAATCAAAAAAATGTGAAATAAAAATAATTTTAACACTCGAACACCAAAATATAAATACAGAGTTCTGGCATGAAACTCTAGATGGTGCAGTCCGATAGGTCTAGCTCAATCTGACCTGGCGACATCATTGTCATAGCAAGTCTCGGTACTTGCTCTGCCGCAGCAGCAGCAGTATAGAAGATCTATTCCGCCAAGACCAAATACATTAACAATGTCATGTACATTACCATGCCAATCCCTCCGAGAGTTGTCATGACAGAAATATATTTATTTGTTTACTTGCATGACAATGTGACTATTAACCGACATCAGAGAACTGTAAGCATGTGCATGTGTTGTTAAAATGATTGAAATACTAACTTTCTCACAGATATTTTAAGTAAATATTTTATTTTAAGGGGTTTGGCTGACAAAAAAAGTTTTCCTTTAAAGGAACACTCCACTATTTTTGAAAATAGGCTAATTTTCCAATTCCCCTAGAGTTAAACAGTTGAGTTTTAGCGTGCAGCAGGCGCAATGATATTACGCAGCGCCTGAAAATAGGCTTCTTGGAAGTTACCTAGCTGGGACAATTTTCACGAGCTGCGTAATATCATTGCGCCTGCTGCACCCATGGTACGGCAGCAAAGTTCCTTGATTATTACACCGGAATGAGAGTATAGTTCCTAACCATATCGGCCTAGAAAATCGCAACTTTTTATTTTCCGTCGGTCTTAGTACACGATGTAACTACAGAAGAGTCAAGTTTTAAATAGGAAAAATATAGAAACTCTTTGGTCATTTTTGAGCGAGATGCTAACGGTCTAATCAGATTCAATGATCTATGCTAAGCTAAGCTAAAAGTGCTACCGCCAGACCCGGAGATCGGCTGAATGGATTCGAAAACGGTAAAACTCAACTGTTTAACTCTAGGGGAGTTGGACAATGAGCCTGTTTTCAAAAATAGTGGAGTGTTCCTTTAAATTCAGAAGCATGGTTTGCAAACTTATTTACATGACATTTGTGAATATAGTCAAAGCTAAATGGCATGACAGTAGGATTTTTAGAAAGGAGAATTTAGAAGAGAAAAAATACGAATTTGGGAGAATCGATAAATTATGAATAACTTACGGTCATTGTGTGAATCGTATGTAATCATGTAATCCATAAAAAAGTAACTGTAATCTGATTATGAGTATTTTAAAATGGGATATACTCTAATTACAAGTATGTAATTTTTGGAATCTGATTACGTAATCCAGATTACATTTAATCAGTTACTACCCAGCACTGAACATACATTTCATGAAAAATCAATATATATAACAGCAAAATGTGGAAATAAATCGCACAGACCAAAATCAAAGCTAGTGCGCTTGCCTGCTTGACATGCAGAAAACTTATTTTAATGGGAGAGATTTGTTCAAATATTACATAACCCCCTCTGTCACCCACTCCGAAACTCTCTTCTCCTCAACAAAAAACCCTGCCACATCTGTCATTTTACTCATGGTCATCAAAAAGCTTCAATCAAATTTTCCCCTGCAGGAACACGCTATAATCTGGCAAATTTGAGAATCAGTAGTAAATAACAGAGAACTGTAATGGCAGGAAGGGCCGGCGCTGGCTTGTGCTGAAAGCGTCTCTCTGCTGAATGCTGAATCTACTTGAAGGCGGCCTTAAATCACTACACTCTTCATCTGCTGGTGACAGCCAGTACAACATCCATCTCTGCACCACTGAATAAATCCTCTCCATCTGGCTGAAAGGATCAGGGCATACTTACAGCTCTCCAGCTGCATTATACAGGTCTGCACATCCATAGGGAAATTCTTCAGGTCCATGGGGCAGGCCAGAATCAGTGTTATTCTGAGAACAACAACAGCCTCCATCAGCAACAAACTCCACCACAGATCAAATTAGACAGCTTGTACTTTCCTCCTTTTTCCTCATTGGTCAAACCGTTCAAATTTAAAGGAACACTTCACCCAATCAGTATTTTTTTATTTGTTATTATTTATTTATTATTATTATATAATATTATGGCATTTATTAATATTTTGAATTAGCGTTTTTATTTTCAGAAATTGAATTTATAATTTGTAATTTGTATTAGTATTATTAATAATTAGTTTTAGTGATTTTAATCCTTCACTCTTTCTTCACCAGCGTTTTTTTCTTTTTGCCAGCCACCACCAGCATTTTTTTTTAATCATTTTCACAAAATTTTCATGGCCCCCAGAATATTTAGTTGTATTAATATCTGAACATGCAATATGTCAAAAGAAAGAATAGGGCTTCTGCTTTTAAATCAACAAACAAACAAACAAACAATGTTTTATTCTAGCTTTATGCATTCTTTTTTTTAAAGAGCAGGTCATATGGTATTTTAAAGTGTCCTGATATCGTGTTGGAGTCACCTACAACAGGTTTAAATGCATCTAAGGTCAGAAAACATTGTAATTTTCTCAGAATATACATTTAATATTACAATAATTTTTCAATGCAGTTCTGAGCTTAAAGTCTGTAAACTCCTCCCTTACATAAGCCTACTCTGCTCTGATTGGTCAGCTGGCCAAGTCTGTTTTGATTGGTCTTTCCGTATACAATGCGTGTCAGAAACAAAACGCCCATTACCATAATTAATTTTTTGCTCCAGAGGGTTACTTGTAAACAAAGATGCTATACGATTACAAAAATAGCCTTATCAATTTGAGCTCGAGTCCGAGGATGATACCGATGCAGTCGCTCAACCGGAAACTCCATCGCAAGCATGACTTGATCAGGGCGTTTCTAGCGGAAGTGTTTGTGATACAATTTTTGTCTTGGAATACGCTTGTCGGTTCACAATGAGTTCACAGTTTTAATGTTTATGTTTCCTTTAATTTATTTTTAAGATCTGAAGTAAAATATCCATTGTTGCTTTCAGTAAGGCTATAAAGGTGACGCAAACTAACATTAAATAAGCACATAATCAGAACCTGAGATTATTATTGTCATAGTTTGTGTGGTGTTGTTCTAGCCACGACGTCACAGGAATACGTCAAAAAGGTCATTTTTGAGCGAGATGCTAATGGTCTAATCAGATTCAATGATCTATGCTAAGCTAAACTAAAAGTGCTACCGCCAGACCCGGAGATCGGCTGAATGGATTCGAAAACGGTAAAACTCAACTGTTTAACTCTAGGGGAGTTGGAAAATGAGGAAAATGAGCAAAATAGTGGAGTGTTCCTTGAAGTTGACAGACTATTTCTATGGTGTCTTTTGTCAGCTTTGTCAGCTTGTGAATTGTTATTATCATGGAAATAACAGCATACAGGACTGGACCAACATGAATATAAGCAAATAATGTCATTTGTAATTTGTCATTTTTGGGTGGCTATCTCTTTAAGAAATGCACCCAAACTGTATTAAATCTATGATTATTAACTCTGTCTCAAACGATCCTAAAGCTAGATAAAGAAACAGCCCTGAGCTGAGCTCTGTTTTGAAACTCACTCTGTAATCATGTCACTATCACGGGATAGTGGTTATTTACCTGAAATGTTCCTTTTAACTGTGCGCTGTGGCTGGTGCAATCTAGAGGGAGTTCGCAGCTAAGACCAAACTGATCTGAAAGGTTCATTTGATAGTGTCAAGTTAAGAGATGAGGCTTCCCAATCCACACGGCTATTCACTACAAGCCCAGTCCTTTTTAATTCTACAATGATAAGACATAGAATTTAGAAATTGGAAACATGCTTAGAAGGATACTCATAATCTTTTTGCTTTAAGCCTTTTAATTTCTTAATAATAAAATACTTTTAAATGATACCACACAATTAAGCAAACATGCTGTGCAGTTTAAACTGTGTATGATTTCAACAAGATTCAGAACCGCTCAAAAGTCTGGGGTCAGCAAGTCTCTTACGCTCACAAAGGCTGCGTTTATTTGATTAAAAATAGTTAGAACAGTAATAATTTGAAATATTATTTCTTTTTAAAATTGTTTTGTTTTAAAATGTAATTTATTCCTTTGATGCAAAGCTGAATTTTCAGCATCATTACTCCAGTTTTCAGTGTCACAAGATCCTTCAGAAATAATTCTAATATGCTGATTTGCTGCTCAAGAAACTTTTCTGATTATTATCAGTGTTAAAAACAGTTGTGCTGCCTAATATTGTTCTGGAAACGGTGATACAGTT